TAATATAACCATACCGTTATAATTGCTCGGTCTCTATTAATTGGCATAAAAAAAGCATAAAGCGACTGAGGTGTGACTTATTTAGCATTTACAGCGCTAATTCAATGTCAAAACTAACCGTCTTTAGCTGAATCTTTTATTGTTAAACGAAACTCGGTTAAATTTAATATTTTTATATTCACATAATTTTATACGGGTTAGAGCCATGCTGCAGCTATATTACTAGTATAGTTGTAGCACGATTGGTTCGGGACGACCCGGGAAGGACCACGCTCTTACAGAATACCAGCGTAAAATAGCAGCTTAATGCTGCTGTTTCGTATGGTGAGTATAGAGAACCGGAGACCCCTTTTATTGAAAACGAGGCAGTCCATCTAAGTCCTCATAAGTGAGAACGCATCTGCATTTTGATTCGTAATTGATGATAGATGTAGAAGATAGATATGCCACAGCAACTACTTACCATCAGGTGGACTGTGTGGTCGCTTATCACCCTAATCCTATAAAAGAAACACCAACTATAAGGAACAGGTCTTCCCAATTTTTAGAGACTAATGGAGTCATAAAAGTGTCTATGTTATATTGCCATTATATAAACACAGTTTAGAGACATTATAGTTGTGAAACGCCTTTGATGTCAGGTGATACCGCCGACCGTCTAGGTATTTACGCGGCTAGCGTGTAAGCTAGGGGCTAGGGGTTGTTACGAAGATAAAAATAAAATAATTTTGGATATTATAATACTCATTATCATTTATTAAGCCGTGTAGTGGCGGTCAGGAATATCCACTACCCCATATCCTCCCGTGGGTGTCGTAAAAGGCGACAAAGGGAAACAGGCAGGAGATGGGCAGCAGCATCTTCCTGATAATAGGCAAAATTACAATAAAAAAACTGCGGTTGCCAACCCGCTCGCCAAGCGTGGCAACTATGGCAAACACCCCCCTATGAATGTAACAAAGAGACAGCCCCCAGTCCCCGGCGGCCCCCCTTTCCCTGGCTACGGTGGCGACCATGGTAACGGCAGGGCATGGGGTGCTAAGAATCTCCGGTGGAGGTTCGGTTGCCACCTTAGACGACTCGACCTGGCAACGTACAACGCACGCACCCTGAGGACTGACGAGAAGATCGTGGAGCTGGAAGAAGAGATAGACAAGTTGCGCTGGCATATTATAGGATTATCCGAAGTCCGAAGAGAGGGGGAGGACACAGTAATCCTCGAATCCGGCAACTTGCTCTATCACCGGGAGGGCGACCATCTGTCCCAAGGAGGTGTCGGATTTATCGTCCACAAGTCTCTCGTTAACAACGTTGTAAAGATCGGGAGTGTGTCGACGAGGGTTACGTACCTTATACTCAGAATCACCAAACGGTATTCGCTGAAGGTCATACAGGTTTACGCACCAACCTCGGCACACCCCGATGAGGAGGTGGAGGAAATGTATGAGGATATCTCTAGAGCCATGCATTCCTCCAAACCCCAATATACGGTGTTAATGGGAGACTTCAATGCAAAACTAGGCACAAGAGAGAACGGTGAGCTGAAAGTAGGGAAATTTGGAATAGGGCAACGGAACCCAAGGGGCCAGCAGCTGGCCGACTTCATGGAGAAAGAGGGACTCTTTATGATGAACTCTTTCTTCCAGAAGCGGCCCCACAGGAAGTGGACCTGGTCGAGCCCCGACGGTTCGACAAAAAATGAGATTGACTTCATTTTGACGACCAGACGACAACTGTTCAGTGATGTCTCCGTGATCGCGAGGGTGAAAACTGGTAGCGATCACCGAATGGTTAGAGGCACACTGAACCTAAACGTTAAGTTGGAGAGGTCTCGTCTAATGAAGTCAACGCTCCGTCCCCCTCGTGCTCTGTTCCAAAGTCCCGAAACCTTTCAGCTCGAGTTACAAAACCGTTTTCAGTGCCTAGAAGACTGCAATGAAGTGGACGATATGAATGACAAGCTCGTGGAAATTGTCCATGCGGTCGGAGCTAAGTTCTGCAAGACTTGCCGCAGAAGAACACAAAAAATCTCTGATCACACTCTTAATCTCATGGCTGTTAGACGGGAGATGAAGCTACATTCATCAACAGACTTGACAGCATACAGGCATCTGAACAGACAGATCTCCAAATGCACGGGGCGGGAATTACGCAACTTCAATACAGCTCGTATTGAAGAAGCGATCGACCGGAACCAAGGCTCCAAAGTCTTTGCCAGAGATCTGTCTGCCAGAAAGAGCCACCTGTCAAAGCTGAAGACAGAATGTGGCAGCATCGTTTCCGGGACACCTGAGATTTTGAGTGAGATTGAGAGGTTCTATGGGCAGCTGTACACGGCATCGTTGGAGCCACACGCAAGTGTGAGTAACGATCCAAGAGCGAGTCTCATCTGACACTATTCCGAAGATATGCCGGACGTCAGTCTGAGCGAGATTAGAATGGCTCTCCAGCACCTTAAAAACGGTAAGGCCCCAGGCGAGGATGGAATTACAGCGGAGCTTCTGAAAGCGGGTGGAAAACCGGTACTTGAAGTCCTTCAGAGGCTCTTTAATTTCGTCCTCCATGGTGGCATTACATCGGAGGCGTGGAGCAGAAATGCGGTGGTCTTGTTCTTCAAGAAAGGTGACAACGCTCTCTTGAAGAACTACAGACCGATTTCCCTTCTGAGCCGCGTCTACGTGCTGTTTTTGAGAGTCATTACGAATCGTCTCGCGCGCAGACTTGACGACTTCCAGCCTCCCGAACAAGCCGGTTTCCGAAAGGGCTTTAGCACCATAGACCACATACATACCCTTCGGCAAATTGTACAGAAGTCCGAAGTGTACAATTTGCCACTATGTCTGGCGTATGTGAACTATAAGAAAGCCTTCGATTCCGTCGAAATTTGGGCGGTGCTGCAGTCCCTTCAGCGGTGCCAAGTTGACTGTCGGTATATCGAAGTGTTGAAGTGCTTGTACAGTAGGGCTACGATGGCTATCCGAGTACAGTTTTACCAGAGTACGAAACCTATCCAATTGCAGAGAGGTGTGAGGTGACGTCATATCCCCGAAACTCTTCACCGCAGCATTGGAAGACGTTTTCAAGCTTCTGGACTGGAAAGGATACGGTATCAACATCAATGGCGAGTACATCACTCACCTTCGATTTGCCGACGATATAGTCCTTATGGCAGAATCGCTGGAGGACCTAAGCACTATGCTCAATGACCTCGATAGTGTTTCCCAACGGATAGGTCTTAAGATGAACATGGACAAAACAAAGATCATGTTCAATGTCCATGTCACACCTATGCCGGTAGTTGTTGGGAGCACTAAGCTCGAAGTTGTTGACGAGTATGTTTACCTGGGACAAATAGTCCGACTAGGTAAGTCCAACTTCGACCGAGAGGTCAATCGACGGATTCAACTCGGCTGGGCAGCGTTCGGGAAGCTACGACACATCTTCTCGTCAGACATACCTCAAAACCTGGAAACGAAATTGTACAACCAGTGCGTGTTGCCAGTGATGACTTATGGAACTGAGACGTGGTCCTTCACTGCTGGCCGTATGAGGAAGCTCAAGGTCGCTCAGCGAGCTATGGAGAGGGCTATGCTCAGAGTTTCTCTGCGTGATAAACTTAGGAATGAGGATATCCGCAGTAGAACCAGAGTAACCGACATAGCCCAACGGATTAGTAAGCTGAAGTGGCAGTGGGCCGGCCATATAGCTCGAAGAACCGACAACCGATGGGGGAGAAAGGTTCTCGAGTGGCAGCCTCATACCGGTAGGCGAAGTGTAGGGCGTCCCCCCACGAGATGGAGTGACGACCTGGTAAGACATGCAGGAAGTCGATGGATGCAGGTGGCTCAGGACCGTGCTTTGTGGCATTCTTTGGGGGAGGCCTATGTTCAGCAGTGGACTTGTGAAGGGCTGTAATGAATGAATTATCATTTATTAACATAATGCACATACTTATAAGTTAAAAACATTTATTGAACAAGATTACTCTTATTACTACAAGCAAGAAAAAACACTTTTACAAGTGTTGCACTACCAAAAATTTTCCAGTTTTTGATTGTTAAATTTAATAATGTAGTGTATTCGCATTCAGATAAACAATTTTATCAAAGAATGACCCCTACCGTTGCTCTGCACAAGTATATTCGTTTCCCAACTGTAAGGTCTAAACTGTGATATATGTCAAAAGTAAACTTTTATTATTAAACAATTTTAGTACCTGTTGCCGACACCGTGATTAGAATTTGGAATGTAAAAGCTGTCGGTAGATTTTTTTAATATAGAATAAGGGTGACAAACAAGCACAAATCTCCGGTGACCAGCGTCTGAACCGTCGGGAATTAAAAAAGTTAAAATGAAACGCGATAAAAATCCGTAAAATTCGTTTTAGGTATTTCACAACCAGCTCTGAGAAAATAAAATGTATTTTTTTCCTTTATAATTTATGTACTACATAAATTTTGTTTTGTTAAAAACCAGTCAGGATATTTATTTAAAAAAAAATGTTCGCTTGAGTTCTTTAACCTTAACAGGTATAAGTTTGTTTAATTTATGAACTTTTAGGTCGGTGTTCAGAAACTATTTCAAAATACACTCAAATTCCACCATGTCAAAATTTGTGTAGATAGTTATGAACAATAATTAAAAAAAAATATATATAAATACGTTGTCACCTGACGACAAAAATTAAATGCCGGTTATTAGTAAAATGGGCTTTCTCTTCGAGCCTCATCAGTCGTCTACTATATTAATATTGTTGTTATAGGAGAGGGGGCAAACGAGCATGCGGCTCACCTGAGATGGTAAGTGACTACCGCCGCCCATGAACAACTGCAACACCAGGGGAATTGCAGACGGGTTGCCGGCCTTTTAAAAAGGAGTAGGCTCTTTTCTTGAAGGTTCCTAAAAAAGGCGATCCGGAAAAATCGAACATGTAACAAAAAAAAAACGAAAAATGTAATTTTATTACTATTTTAAGCTAATACCTATTGAGAGCTGATCTAATGAGAGCTATGGATTTCACTGGTTTTTTTATATCATTACTGGCCCAAATATCTAAACTACCAATCAGACTAAGCTCTGCAGCTTTACCTGTAATTAAGATTAGAAGTCTCACTAGTATCGAGACCAGAGCTACCAGTAGAGCTAGCAGTGGTCAAAGTACAAAATGACTTTCAATAAAAATTATTTAAGATCAACATTGAATAAAAACTATCCTATTCTATTCTAGAGCGTGGTACTTGATCGGGCGGACCGTATTCGTGTTGCAGTCAGAATACCGCATTAAACTGCAGCGTGGCTCTACAACGTCAGTAAGTTTTAACAACATTGCAATGTCCCCAATGCATTGGGACGTCGAGCAAGTGCTCGAAACATTGGGAATATAAAATAATTAAGTATAATATACGCGACAAACTCCTTCAAACTAGTTTCATTTTAATGTTTGGCGTAAACATAATAAATCATTAAGTTTTAGCTATAAAATGTTTTATATATTTAAACCTTTTGTAGTTACATTTGCTATTGTTAGTGAAAAGAAATCACATATTGTTCGAAATTTGTCACGATTCGAAATTGACGTAATTGAACCTTACCTTACTGATGTAACAAACGTAACAATAAATTTCGTGACCGTCGTTGACAACGGTGAGCTTGACTTCAGACCGTTATAATTTCACAGCGACAGTCCCGTTGCAACTGACTGTGGCGTAATTATACGTATTAAAATGATTTTTTAAACAAGTAGTAGACAATTCGCTGCCATGCATTATACTGTGTTTTGATACAATCATCATGGATATTGTTATACTTAACTATCATGTAGTGTATCATGTAGGTGAATATCCACTACCCTAGTCGTCCTGTTCGGGTCGTAAGAGACGACAGAAGAAAACAAACCAGGAGATTGGTGTGAAGGATGGGATGAAGAACAACTAAAAATAATATACTTTGGATGCTAACCCAAGCGTGGCAACTATGGCAAATATCCCCTTTATGAGAAAATCTACAGGGAAGGACTATGTTCAGCACTTTTTATAGGTTACAACTGTAACAATCAACATGAATTATTTGCATAACCGGCCGTAGATAAATTTAGCATGTATATAGTATAAAAATAGTTTATAAAATTCAAAGTACACGCCTCAGAAGCATTTCATTTAATTATGATTAAAAAAAAATAAGTTGTATTCCTGACTTTTAAAGTATATTATTTACGTGTTTTAAATTAAGCGCTCTATTATTTTAACAGGTATTGTCACCTACAGGGTAAAAAATAATAATGTTTACCAAAATAAATCGATTACACATAGTATAAAATTGATATAGGCTGCATGGTACATTTGTCCTTTGTCTATCAAGGGCTAAAAAAATGTGATAGCGCCATAAAATTTTTAATAACAATAAAACTTATAAAAGTTGAAAATAATTTTATTAACAAACTACGCGTACTAGGCTATTGATATGAAATAGGGAACCAGTTGATGTAGTTATGAAGCCAATAAAAAAACCCGGTCTAGATACGTCAATATTTTCGAGAGTTATCATGACCACATACAAAATCAACATCCGGACGCCCACGTAAAATTTTTTCAAACCATTTGCTTTCAAAGTAGCAATATAAAATTATTCTTTATAAAATATAAGATGGATTAATTAGTGATTTCTTTATATACGGCTACTCATATTATCGTAAAAGTGCAATATGGTTATGATAGAGGCTTTTTAAAAACACAAAATTGCTTTACCTTGATGTGTTGAGAGTAAAGCACTACCTAATAACGCTTCGCGCCATAGCGTCTCATAAGGCGTGCAATGTTAAGGCTAGGTGTTTCTGTTTTTGTCCGTTTTAAAATTGTTTTTTGACAGCCAAATTATTTTATTTAGAATCTGAAAAGATAAATTCTTTCTCTATACAATGCATCTGATCAATACACGATACGATACGTTTTTCTCTATAGAAAAAATTACCGAACTACGTTCGATTTGAAGTAATTTTACAAACCAAATTTCATTTTAAACAAGTGCTAATACTCCTTTTTTCTATAAAAGTATCAATTTATTGGTAATTCATTTTGGAATTAATTCCTCCCGATCGTTTTTTTTTTCATTATATTTATTTAAAAATATTATCGATTATTCGAGTGATTTTCGATCTGCGCGTCACTTTCCAGTGTCCCTCGGGACGTTGCCAAGGTAAGACCTGTGCGCACTTCTTTATAGCTACGTAAAATCAACGTACATATGCGCGGCCCGACTTGATCTTTGCGACAGCTGCTTGTAAATACCTAATGCGCTTGGAACACCCTGCCTTAAGGAGGCAACTAATGTTCTCAAATATATTTCTGCATTTTAATTTAATTTAAGAAAACGCATATACTGCGGAGAGTATGTTATTCGTTTTTAATTCAAAAAACGAGGAGATTACGAATTCGACGCATATGTTTTTTTGTTTTATTTTCACTTGTTTCTCTACAACGACTTACAGATTTAAATGATTATTTTTCATTAAGTTATTTATACTTCAGTAGAAGTCCAAAATACATTTCAAGAAAACATCCATCTCTAAGGTTGGAAATATAAAGCTTTTGTGTAACTATTTAGATGACATTCTAACTGTTACCTTAAACTTGTAATATACTTATACTTATACCACTCAAAAACGTAAATAAATAAACTTTTTAATGAAAAATAAAAACCGACGTTAAAAACTAAAAATAATAAAAAATATCCACATAACAACTTATGGAGTCGAGACTTTTATTTTTTCTATACACTATGCCTCATCACCACTTTAGAAGCTATTATGTGAAAATTATTTTGTCCTTTTTAGTTTTTGAAAACGTTATTCACTTTTTTTTAGTAAAGTTTAATTTTTTAGTGTTATTAATAATATTATATATTATTAAATATATTAATTATTATATAATAATCGACGTTCGTTTAAAATATTGATGTGACAAACGAGCAAATAGTTCGCTGGATGGTGAGCGGCCTTTGTAGCCCATGGGCACCCGTAGCCAAACAAGGACGACCACAGATGCTTTGTCACGCCTGGTGTCTAAGATGAATTCTGTTATTAGTAAAAAGTTTTTTTTTTATAAAATCTACAAAACTGAAGTGACAAACGAACTTACAGTCCCACGATGGCAAATGCCAACTGCCGTTCATAGATACCTGTAGCCAACATCAAACAAAGAAGGTTACAGGTGCGTTGTCACCTCTGAGGACTAAAATGGAATACTTCATAGCCTGTAATTCTACTGGCTCTATATACCAGACCAGAATACAAGAGTGCTGTGTGGTGGCAGAAATAAGTGTGTAATTTCTATCCTGACGGACTTCTAAGCAGGACCACCGTAGTACCATCTAGGTATTCGTTTCTTGTCTCTCACCATGTGAAATGCGGTAAATATTTTGTGAGAACATGATCCTTCCTCGCTCAAGCCGACCCATTCGTGAATTGCACTCCTGTAAAGTCTTGTCTCCTTGTATAAAAAACTATGAGATTAGATGAAAAATTAGTATACAAGTTTAATACATAGAAATATACAAAGAACTGTACCCGAAACACATAAATTTATATATTTAGAAATCATTTTAATCTGTGAGCTAACGTACAAATAAATCTATTGATACTCTGTGCCTGTATTGAATCTTAACACATATCCTTTTGTTTATCGCATTTTTTCTTCTTTTGTTAGCCAGTATAAAAAATGCATAGAGCGCTCAGATAAAATTAATAAATTTAATTAATTATAAAATTCTATAGGATCTAACTTTGTATTTATTTGACTGGGAGAATGACATTGGTAAGGAGTTTTTCTTCTCTAATACGTATTCTCTATACGTAATACGTACGTGCGCATTTTCAATTTTAACTTGTGTGTGTGTGTGTGTGTGTGTGTGTGTGCGTGTGTGTGTGTGTGTGTGTGTGTGTGTGTGTGTGTGTGTGTGTGTGTGCGTGTGTGTGTGTGTGTGTGTGTGTGTGTGTGTGTGTGTGTGTGTGTGTGTGTGTGTGTGTGTGTGCCACACTTTCATCAATCGTATTGTACCTATGGACCATTTTAAATTTTCTTATATTGGCAAGTGAAGAAGTTTCCACGCTTCCATATCTCACAAAATTAATTACTCTCATGTGCAATCCAAATATTTTTCCCAGTAGGTTGCGTTAGGTTTACGAAAACAACGGCTTGCGAAAATTCAGTCTGAAACAGATGCGTATCAAGAAATAACTTCTATTATTAAAAGGCGTGTAATATTTTGTTAGTCTAATTGAATAATGTAATTGAGTTTTATGACTTATTTTGAAGAGCTGTCGCAAGAAGCTCCAAAAGAGCTCAATGTCAGTATGTATTTTTAACACGCTTTTATTAGTTTCGCGTGTATCTCTCTATCTCTATATATACTCTAGTATACTTGTATTTATGCAACGAAATTTTTTAATGTAATTTTCACCGATTTGTAGACTGTCGATTGACTTGAAAATTTGCAACTTGCATCAAGGGCCGATGATAATACAATAATTTAATAATTATACCCTAGTATCCTGGTCAGCATCACCAGGATAAAATAAAATAATTTTATCTTTAGCTCGTTTCTTTTGTTTCTTTAAATTATAATTTCTTTACTTTAAACATCGGTTAGGAAAAGCCTCTGTCCTGGGAAGGACTAGCAAGAAAAATAGTAAGTAAAAAGTAGCATTTCTTAGTTTTTCTGAGAAATAGTCATTTTTGTAGTTGACGATATTGCAGTCAATTTAAAATGAACGCGTGGTGGGTAAAAGGAAATGCTAATTAAAAGAAATATATGAAAAAAACTTTGTTTAATCCAGAACAGATTTTTGTTTTCTGTCCAGTGAGATTGACTTCCGTTACTACCCAAGCCTAACAACGTAACTAATTCGGGCCAATTATTGCAAGTGGTCATGATGCGACATTTGAACCTGTCGCAGTTCAAGGCCCCAACTATTTCCATTCAGATTTCAAGCGTGACCTAAGACCAGATTCCTCTCATTGTTTAAATTACTGAGAGGGGCCATGACCTCGCTATAATGTAGACAAGTTAGATAGTAAAATGCAGCACTGCTATTATTTATATATTAAATGAAATGATTAAATGCGAGCTAAATATACATTATATTAAATATTATTGTATTAAATCATACGGATTATTTTATTTTTAATTATTAAATTGTTTATACGTTGATTGGACAACGTTCAATAAGACATTTGTGAAACAATTTTGCATAATCTTTTACGCATTTCATCATCATTTTCTGTAAAGCATTGAACACAAGCTAGAGCTTTTCGGTGTATTTATAGGATAAGGCTCCGTAGCGCGATGGCTAAGCATTTGGTCGCGGCGCCACGGGTACACGGGTTCGATTCCCGCACGTTACGAAATTTTATATGGCCTACAAATAATTATTCCTCGTCTGGGTGTGTTTCCTTATGCAATAAAGATATGTAAACTGCCTCTACGACACATAGTCCGATGGGTCTGGAAATCAGATACGTGTGGAGAGAAATCGAACCTAGGATTAACGCACACAATGCTTTACCTGCTTTCCGAGACACGATGGTTAAAACAACTTCAACTTATGAATAGATTTTTTCCCTGACACGAGAATCAAACCTGAACCTGAATTAACAATTGACGAAAAATCAGCAAAATTACTTATTCAGGAGCAGGAGAATCATTATCGGCACCAACAGTTGAAAATAACAAGTCAGGCGTTTATGTAAGTCACAGATTGAGAAAAAATCAACTTCACGTGTTCAACCAACTTTTTGTTTGATACTCTGTTTAGTTCCACGAAAAAAACTATTGGTGTGAATTTAGAGATAAGCGAACTGACTATCCGTATATAAATGTGACCATTGTAGTTTATGAACATTTACATTCAAGTTAAGAACAAAGGAAGCTGTGGATGGGTTTCAACCACTGAGGATCCAGATACATGCAATGGGTACACTACCATTTAGTGTCTAAAATGGTATTTTCGTTAGTTCAGAAACAGATTACATACATTTTCGTAACAGTAAGTTAACTTCAAAAAACTTTACCCAAGGACGGAAACCCCGCTGAAATACTTATCTTAAACTCAACAAATAAATCAATGTATTAGGGAATGAATTTCTACTGCAATGTACTTTATGAAATACATAAATATGAAGATAGTCTTCTCGCTTCTAATTTAATACTATGTTTTGCAGATAATGTAATTCTTAATAAGGTCAACTTTATTATGGTTTTATTGATTTTGGATCCTTCAGATATGAATTTTGATTAAAAGCAAAGCCAGCACTGAAATACACACAATCTAATAACTTATACTATGCAGGAAATTTCTAAACATTATAGTTTATAATATTCTTCTTTTATTTTTAATGTAGGTGTAAGTTATGTTTTTTTTTTTTATAGGAGAGTTTTTCAGTCTTTGGACACAATTATAAAAGCAGCTCTGTACTTGTGTTCCCTAAGTAATATTTTGATTCGAGAGTTTTTAATCACGTTTAAAGTCTAAATGATTAAGATCTAATGATTATAGTGCGTAAAGATTGTGTTGTGATATAAAAACCTCAAGAAAACCTGGTCTAAAATCATTATTTAAACAAATAAAAGTTGAAATTGTTTGTTTTTATTTATATTGAGCGGTAGAGGAACAATTGTGAGTGCCGATGTGCTGAGCTCGCTGCTAAGCAAACTGCGAGCTTATCCGACCTGTTGACTGGTAATAATCGCATACGCCCGGCCTGTTTGTGATGCGACGCCCGACCCAGTACTGATAAGGTAATGCAGATAGAACAACGATAATATCGTGCATTACCTTTGCATCTGAGAGGACAAGATTACACGGTTCGTTTTTTGAATATAACATAATTAAATTTGAGTGGCTTTATGATGTCTAATGCAAATTGGGGCTGTTGTTTTTCTGAAAAAGATAACTGTGATGAATTTATTGCTTGCATTAAATGCGATAAAAAATATCATTATGCATGTATGATGATTGATCGCAAAATTATTTCCTCTGATTTACTGGCGACATGGGCCTGCCCTGAATGTGTCCACCAACTACCAAAACCTACAAATAAAGAAAATACACCTGTGAGAAACGTTACTACCGTTAGAGGAAACAAAAGAGTAGCTATTGGTTCGCCGCATTCTGATTCGGAGAAAGTGAACATTTCTATGGAAGACATCCGTCTAGTGGTAGAAGGTGTGATGGAAGATAAAATGAATGATCTATTTAAAAGATTTAATGAAAACTTGGCTGGATTCTTCGCGAAGGAGATAAAACCTATGAGAGATGAATTGTTGAGTATTAAGGAATCTTTAACGTTCATTAATGACCAGTATGAAGGTATAAAGAAAGAAAATGTAGCCTCTAAATTAAAAATAACTTGTTTGGAGAAAGAGAATGAAGAACTGAAAGGAACTGTTCATGCCTTAGCTCAGAGAGTAAATCAAATCGAACAACACTCCCGCCAATGTAATTTAGAGCTCCAGAACGTTCCGGAGTCAAGAAATGAAAATCTTATAACGATGATAACAAAGTTGGGTAAAGTCATCGGCAGCTCTCTGAAAGAAAATGACATTCTAAACTGCACACGCACAGCCAAAATAAATCGTGAATCCAGGCGTCCAAGATCTATAATAGTTCATTTAGCTTCGCCTAGAATTCGAGATGAAATGTTAGCGATGACCTCTAAATACAACAAGGCGAACTCAGACAACAAACTGAATACCACACATCTTGGATTAACAGGACACACCACCCCTGTTTTTGTTACTGAACATCTATCCCCAGCGAACAAGGCAATTTATGCGGCGGCTAGGCTTAAAGCAAGGGAGAGAGGATATAAATATGTGTGGGTGCGTAATGGGAGAGTGTTTATGAGAAAGACTGATGACAGTGACTATATTTTAGTAAAAAATTTGGATAGCCTAAAAAAACTTATTTAAATTATTCTGGTTGTTCCTTTCTTATTTTATAGTCTTTTATGTGGTACGGTTTTTTATAAGATTCGATACTCTAAAATTGTACTATCAAAATTGTAGTGGTCTTAAGACCAAAACACATAGTTTCTATAATCAAATATTATGTAACAACTATGAAATAATAATACTCACTGAGACCTGGCTTAATGATTCTGTTTCGAGTAGTGAAGTTTTTGATCCTAGATATGTGGTATATAGAAGAGATAGATGTTTTACCAGTAGTAACAAGAAAGAGGGAGGGGGGGTTTTAATAGCAGTATCAAGTAAATTAAAATCGAAGCGTATGAACGCTTGGGAGTCGGATCTGGAAGATCTTTGGGTTTTAGTCGATGCACCAGCATCACAGTCAATTGATCAAATTGCCTTCTGTGCCATTTATTTACCATCTCCTGTAAAAAGTGTAACTTATGATAAATTTTATGATACTTGTACTAGCGTCCTGGAAGAACAGTGCCTGCATTGTATAGTAGGTGATTTTAATCTATTTTCCATAAATTGGAGCTTGTTAGATGAGGATACTGCAAAATGTGAGCTTTCCACTGTTAGTCAGTCATTTGTTGATTTTTTAAATGTTAATGATTTGAAACAGTACAATCGTATAAAAAATAAGAATTTAAATAGAACACTTGATTTGGTTATTTCAAATTTACCTAACTGTACAGTGGAACAGGCACTTTGTCCCCTCAGTAAAGTTGATAGGCACCATCCTCCCCTTGACATAAATGTTAAGCTATTGAATGACATTAGATTACCTTACAATATTGAAAACGTACAATTAAATTTCTACAGAGCTGACTATGATAGTATTTGTAAAGAATTAGAGAGTTGTGATTGGGTAAAACTGCTTGACGGGTTGACAGATGTAAATGATATGATACAAATTTTCTACCAGAAAATTCGAGATGTTATTATTAAATTTGTCCCCAATAAATCGTCAAAAAATAACAACTACCCACCTTGGTTTGATCGGAATCTAATTAGAACGCTAAAAGATAAGTATAAAATTAGGTGCCGTCACAAAAAATATAAAAATCCCAGAGATGAGCTTGAACTGCAATTGCTGAGTAAAAGGTGTACACATATGGCCACAAATTGCTACAATAGGTATATAAAGCTAATAGAGAGTGACATAGCAAAAAACCCAAAACTATTTTGGTCCTTTGTTAAGGCGAAACGTGGTGGTTCAAGCGCCTATCCCCTCGCAATGACTGACGGAATGACAGTAACTTCTGATGGAGTGGAAACTTGCGAACTTTTCTCTTCACACTTTTCATCCGTGTACTCTGAGAATACTGAATGTACTGAGCAGGATTATGTTTATGACCATTCAGAGTCTTTGAAATCAATAGAAATTAATAGCCTTCACTTAGCAAAGCTGACAATTAATCATGATACCCTATTAAATAAACTAAAAGCCATCAATTGTAACAAAGGGGCAGGTCCTGACGGAATACCTCCAGTGTTCGTAGTCAGATGTGCTGAACATCTTGTTAACCCACTTTTAATTATTTTCAATCTTTCTCTTTGTACTGGGCAGTTTCCTACAGAATGGAAAATAGCTAAAATCGTTCCGGTTCATAAAGCGGGTAGTGCGGATTATGTAAAAAATTACAGACCGATCTCTATACTATCAGTCTTCGCTAAATTATTTGAGTCAATAATTTGTCCTTTTATTAAGAGACATATCAATCTTTACTTAACCACTAGCCAACATGGTTTCGTTAAAGCTAGGTCCACGAGTACTAACTTGGTACATATTACGGAAACACTAATTGAAGCGCTTGATGCGGGAAAACAAGTCGACGTAATATATACCGATTTTAGCAAAGCGTTTGATCGGGTCCCACATGATATATTGATTCGAAAGTTAACTGCCTATGGTATTACTGGTAGTTTGTTGAATTGGCTAAAATCATATTTAAATGACCGAGCGTTTTTTGTAGTAGTGAATGGATATCAGTCAGGCTTGAAAAACATTCATTCTGGTGTGCCCCAAGGGTCACATCTCGGACCGATTCTGTTTGGAGTGTTCGTTAATGAAATACCAGAATTGATGAAAAGTTCTTGTGCGTACTTGTATGCGGATGACTTAAAAATTTGCAAGATGATAACGGAAGAGAATGATTCAGTGAAGCTACAAAATGATTTGGATCAATTGGTGGAATGGTGCAAAGTAAATCGAATGGACTTAAACATTAGTAAATGTCTTTATGTGCAATATGCGAGAAAAAGTAATACCATCGATTATAGCTATCACATTGGAGATAATAATATACAGCAGTTAGACCAAATTAGAGACCTAGGGGTTGTTTTCGATAAAAAATTAACTTTTGTGCCTCACATTGAAAACATTACTAAGCGTGCATCTAGGATGATGGGTTTTGTAATAAGAAATATCAAAGTTTTTCGAAGCTCTAAAATTAAAATTCTATTGTTTAACAGTTTGGTAAGAAGTATATTAGAATACTGTGCTGTAGTCTGGAGACCTCATTATGCTACACATTCACTGAGAATCGAGCGGATCCAAAAAAGATTCATAAGACATTTGTCTTACGCGCGTGGGTTTAGAAGTTATAAGAAGCGTGTATCATATGAAAATAACTTGGTCTATTTCAAAATGATTTCTCTAGAGAACCGCAGGGATATTATTGATTTAATTTTTGCTTCGAAAATTATTAATGGTGTTATTGACTGTCCCGAAATTTTAAGTAAATTTAATTTGTGCGTTCCCTATCGCTATCCGCGTTTTGCTCGTAAGATTACACCGTTGACTAGACCACATCGTAGAACAGTGTTTGGCTCCAATTCCCCAATTGCGAGAATGAGTAAAATTGTTAACAAATTTAGCGAAACAATCGATATATTTTTCGACCCTCCTAACAAGCTCCGTCGCACATTAAGAGACCATTTCTTTTAATATTCTATAAAACATTTTCTTTTCTTTTCGCTCTATGTATTTTTATTACTGTATATCATTATTATTTTTTTTTACCCTAGAAATAAAGTTACAGTGCTGAGATAGTTATTAGCATGTGGTATCCGCCTGTAATTATTTGTACATTTTAGTTCTTATTGGTTCATTGTATTTAAATAGCATGTAAGGAATGATACAAATGTTGGTGGATCAATAAATAAAAAAAAAAAAAAAAAAAAAAAGGAGAGGGGGCAAACGAGCATGCGGCTCGCCTGATGGTAAGTGACTACCGCCGCCCATGAAAAACTGCAACACCAGGTGAACCAGAGGAATTGCAGATGCGTTGCCGTCCTTTTAAAAAGGAGTAGGCTCTTTTCTTGAAGGTCTCTAAGTCGTATCGGTCCGGAAAAATCGCTGATGGTAATCGATTCCACAAGGAAGTTAGGCGAGGAAGAAAACGTCTTCTAAGTCGCACAGTGGTGGACCACCAATTATCCACATGGTGTGGATGGTATCGGGAGTTCTGCCTCGATGTGCGTTCGTGAAAGGCGGCTGGGATTAATCCGAACAATTCCTCAGAGCATTCCCCGTGGTAAATGCGAAAGAAAATGTAAAGGGATGCAACATCTCTTCGCAGCGCCAATGAACACTGTAGCCGATCGGAAAGGACTCGGTCGTCGACGATTTGAGCTGCTCTGCGCTGAATGCGGTCAAGTGGAAAGAGCTGGCACTGGCCCCGGCCCACAGATGGGAACAGTATTCCATGTGAGGCCGAATCTGCGCCTTGTAAAGTTGCAGGCGTTGTGCCGGCATGAAATACTGTCCCGCTCTGCTGAACATGCCAAGCTTTTTGGCCTTCTCTTCCAAGTGACCACGAAACTGCACGTCACTCGATATGTCAACGCTGAGGATTCCGATACTGACTGAGGCAACAAGGGGAGTGCCTTGAAACTGAGGAGATACGACAAAGGGGTTCTTTTTAGCGGTAAACGCGCAAACTTGTGTCTTCTGAGGATTAAACTGGACTAAATTTAGTCACCCTCAATCCGAGACTATGTTCAGCAAAGACTCGACTTTAGACACAAGTTTGTTTCGGTACTCGGCGACGTTTTTCCGAGAAATATTGGCACAGCCGGTGTATAGAGCATCATCAGTGCTGTCATCCGCATAGCAATGAATGTTACCAGTTTGCAACATATCATTGATATGCAGAAGAAACAGCGTTGGTGATAGCACACAGCTTTGTGGAACACCAGCGTTAATAGGCTTGTAGTCGGAGCATGTACCGTCTACAATGAACTTGATGCTCCGATTTGCAAGGAAGCTGGTGATCCAATTGCACAATTTCTCGGGAAGCCCATAGGAAGGGAGCTTTGAAAGAAGCGATTTGTGCCAAACCCGATCGAATGCCTTCGCAATGTCCAAACTAACGGCCAACGCTTCCCCCTTGGACTCTACTGCCTTCGCCCATCTATGAGTCAGGTAGACCAGAACATCACCAGCTGATCGACCCCGACGAAAACCGTATTGGCGGTCACTAACCAGCTGGTGATCCTCAAGGCACCGCATGAGCTGGCAGTTTATAATGGATTCCACTATTTTGGAGAACAAGGAGGTGATGGCGATAGGCCTGTAGTTGGACGGGTCTTAGCGGTCGCCTTTTTTAGGGATATTCTTCCATAGATAAAACGCATCTGCACATTTTAACTGAATATAGGTCCCCAATGCGCAAACGTAACATTCGTTTGAGGAATTTCTAACTTACTCCAGAGAAACAGGCTCTGCTTTACCCATACCATATTATAATAATACTAAAATCGCTAGACACGAATAGCTACTCGACTTGCGTATAAAAAAATGATTGGGTCCAAAGGAGACAGTCAAACCATGCATTAATTGCCTGTTTGTTGCTTACTTGGCACCTCTTTATAATACATTTTTGTAAGCATTTATTTTTACAAAATTTTGAGCAGTAATTACGAAGATTTTTTTGACAAATAAATGATAAAAAAGATAAATTAATTTGGAGTCTACTTTTAGATATAGACTA